ATACTAACCCCTTTAGCTGTGTGATTGCAACTTATTTTCTTATTTGAAAATGTAATACATGATATATTTTAAAATGTATAAAATAATTTTTTTTAATTTTTAATATTAGTATATTAAAATCATTTTAAAATATTAAAAAATAAATTTTATATTTTTTAAATTAAAACTACTTTTAAAAAACACATAAAACCAAAAACAGAAAGTATGACAGACACTTTTTTATTTGCCTTAAAGCCATGTATACTTTTTTGATTTTATTGATTAAATTGAACAGTTTATATTCATTATCTCATTGTTTCAATCATTAAAGCAGATCAAATATCCAAAGTTACAGAAGAAAAAGTTTTTACTTTTTTTATATTACAATATTTGCAACCTTTACTTGTCACTCTCTTCTTTTTTTGGTTAGTGTGTGTTTGTGTACGTTGCCAACCGTGTTTTAAACTATGATAAGTTAAAAAAACATCAAATATATAGTTGACCGTCATGGATGGATAAAGAGGCTCTAAAAACTTTAATATTATTATCCAAATAAATTTGTTTTCTTAAATAAAGATTGATTCCATGTGTGCATAAAGAATATCTTTTACCATGAAGTGTGTCATAATGCATTTTTAGGTTATTCCCCCATTTACATATTTTCTCTCTTCAAAAAAATATAAGAAAATAAAAAATATTATCACAAAATATAACAGTAAAAAAAAAATCAGAGTGCCTAAAAAATAACTAAAAATTAGTTGAGAAGGTTCAAAAATATAAAAACTAAAATTTAATAGTATTTTATGGACTGATGAGAGTCATGTTAACAAATAAAATTCAATTAAAGAAAGAAAAGTCTAAAATTAGATATTTATGAGCTTAATTAAATTTTATTAAAGATTTAATTAAATTGATGGAGGGTTTGATTACAAGAAAAATTAATTTTTGAAGTCAATTTAGGCTTTAATTAAAAGAAATTAAAGTTCTGGAGTCAAATTATAATTTTTGAGAGTTAATTTGATCAAATCAAGGGCTTAATTGCATAAATATTAAAGTTTTATGACTAATTAGAAATTTAATTAAAGAAATCCAAAATCAAGAATCAAAATAAAAAACATATGTAAATAGAAAGGTTGTAATTAAAACTGAATCAGGGGCTAAATTGAAGAAATTAGAAATTTATTCTTAATTGAGGGTCAGATTGTATAAATTCAAGAGTAAGAATCAAAGTGAAAAAAAGAACCAACTTCAAAGCCATTGTTTTTTTTACAGGGATGCAATTTCTTTGATTTTTAAATCAAAATTGCAATTTAAAACTTGATTCGAAAAATTAGAAATTAAAGACTGATTTGGATTTTGACATAAGTTTTTGTTGTCTTTTCCTTTTAAATGGTATCGTTTCATCCACTGTTTAAAAAAAAAAATTCAAATGGTACTGTTTGAACAACATTGTGGGTCTTCTTCTTTCCTTGGACGTGCAGGGTAAGGGAAGAAAAATATTTTTCCTTCCCTGCTTTTCTCCTCTCCTTCTCTCTCCTAAATCTCAAAAAGACGCTGACACAACATCTCAACTTGCTTACCACATGGTGGAAGAAAGAAGGGGACGTACCCCTTGGGCAGTTTGGTGTGAATGTACGGTGGTTGCCCTTGCCATGTACCCCTTGGACAGGGGTAGTAAGGTGTCTTCCCCCCTCTGTTTTACTTATAACTATAAAGGGGGTCAGCAAAAAACGGGGGCCTTAGAACAAAAAAAAAAAGGAAAAAAAGAGAGAGAGAAGAAGAAAAACAGAGTAGAAAAGAAAGAGAAAAACAAAGAAAGAAAAGGAAAGGAAAACACAAAAAGAGAAGAAAAAAGAGACGAAGAAGGGAGAGAATAGGGGCAGAATAGAAGAGAGAGGATAGAAGAGAAACGAGAGAAAAGAGAAGGAGAAAAGGAAAGAGAAAACAAAGGAAGGAGAGGGACAAGAGAGAAGCACCACCAGCCATCGTACCCCCAGCCACCACTAGCAGCACCATTGCAACCACCATTGCTAGTAGTCGTTAGCTTCACCACCGTTCCAAGTAACTGCACCTCCTTCTTCCCTGTTTGTTGCCTCGCCTATATTTACTTGCAGAACATGAATAAATCATACACTGTAGCAAATGCAATAACGGTTGGTTACTATGCTCATGCACAGTAACTAGCTTATTCAATTGGGTCGGATTTGGTCCAGCCCATGTATTTAAGTCGGCTCCGGTCCATTTCAAAAAAAATAAAAAAATATTTTTCAATATTTATAATTTCCCCATGTTTTGATTTATGCTTCTTTTTTTACTAGTATCAGAATATATTTTTATATCATAAAAATATAAATCTAGCATTAAAATAACTGGTTTTTATCAAAAACTTCCAAAAATACAAAAAAAAAATAGAAAACAAAAAAATATATTTTTTGTGCATACATCTAAGTGTTTCAAAGCTAAAAATCATATTGTGTTTTTTCATACACTAAAAAATAATATTTTTAGCATATATTTTAACTTTAATAACTAGTTTTTAAAATCAAGAGAACATTGGTTAAAATTTCAAAAACGACAAAAAATTTATTTTATTTTATTTTAGTATCAGGAACTATGAATTTATACGTAAAATGTATTCTCAATATTAAAATGGTATTTTTTTGTTGACAACATAGAACAATTAGGTTTTTACCTATTAAGATAAGAACTTCCTTACAGATGAAGGCTTTTCTTAAATTTTAGGTAGACGAGACCAACAATTAAAAACCACAACAAGATCTTAGATTTTATCAGACAATAAAATAATATAATTTACCTTAAGTATGACGTATTTGGGGTCCTAATATATTTTTTTTATGCAACCAGTCTCCGTACCCAATTTTTTAGATCAGTTAAAGTTTCTAATGACTAGAATACTAGGTGGTGTCTCTCATTCTATTTTACTAATAAGAGACAAGAATTCTTTATCTCTCCACATTTATCAGATAGACCCTTATATTATATTTTATTTTTTTTAAAGAATAAATGATCATTGTGATGCCATATACATACGACAAAATGAATTCATATGTGAATATGACACACAGGCACCAGGAAGCCTAATTTTCATTTCATTGCTAGGTTAAACTGTAAAATCCAATTAAAAAAATGTATGATTGGATAGAGATATTTTAGTAATTTAACATATCAAGAGTCATAGTTCATGAAACTGTGAGGTAGCAGAAGAGGACAATATTTCTTATCTCTTTCTATAAAACAAGAACTAACCCAACCCTAGTTTTTTGTATTTCCGTGTGCTGCTCCAAGAGCTATTTACATTGAAAACCTACAACAGCTCTTCAATTGTTATCAAATGCTTAGTGCAGTTGGAGTGTTCCAAAGGGATCGCATTGATCTAATGACTTTTGATGTCTATAAGGTGTTAATGTTCAGTCATTTCATTGGATCATGCGATCCCTTAGGAATTTTCCAGCATACAGCTCTAAATTTTCACCACCCTTCAAAGGTAAGCTAACACGAGATCTTATATGGACATGTTTTTCTTCTGAATTGCATGAACTTTTTAGGATTACACTGCTTTATAGTACCGTACTCTTGTGGCTTTGGTTTTTTTTCTATCTAAATATGTTTGAGCCCAGTGTCAATTCTTCATCAGTCTTTTTGCAAAACTCAGGTAACTGGTCCCCTGTAAAGTAGGTGATCTCTTTAGAGGCGGTAATGTGTAGCTGGACCCTTTAAGAGAAAATAGTAATTAACACAGTAGAATAGAGACTCCCCTCTTTCCATCAATGATTTCTTGGCTGTTAACTGTGTTTGCCAATGATTTCTTCCCTGCTGAACTCCATAGCTAGCAGTACTACTTATCCATGATCATAGCTATGATCACTTGTAAGGGTACTAGCTAGCTAGTTGCGTCCCTTGATGAAATAAAAGATGGGTTTATGATATCTCTGTGATCATTTTCGTTTAACCATGATATACAGCACTAGCTGGGATAGATTAAATTAGTAGAATTAATTAGTAAAATATCACTGTAATTAGCAGAAAGTTTAGTATTTGATTTTCCTCCTTTTACTTTTCTCCCGCTCCATGATCAATTTCCTAAAACAAAGTTAATCTGAAGTAAATTTTTTTAATCCTGCTTTCCTAATTAACAGATTACAGAATTCAATTAGTCATATAAAATCATTTAAATTCTCCTGGCTTAATTAAAGGCTCAACATTAACTTATAAATTCCAGTAATGATTTTGGTTCAGACTTTTTGTGCTCATTCCCTGCTAGGAAGATATTGGATTGAGATTTTCTTGCACCCCGTCAGACAAGAACCAAGCATCAATGTCCTCACGGACAAACAATGGCCTACCATGTCTTAGATTCATGTCGGATTTTCGTTTCCTATGGGCCTATGGTTGTGCAATTGATTTGTTGCTGGTCCTGTCTTTATTGATGCTTGCACGAGCAAGCATTGTCAGTATATAATGCAAACCCAATGCTTGAATGACTCATAAAGAATCATCTGCAGTCATTATAGAATTTAGCTTATTGAAAGCCGTACCAGGGAATTAAACTGTCCTTGCTTCATCTTTTACAGAATATACACATGATGTAAATGTCCGTGCCTTTGATTGTTGATGGATTTTTCTTCTTCAGAATATGTACGTTCTCATCGACAGCTTTGGCCGTCGGCAATCAGTTGATTCAGTTTCTATGCAACAAATGGATAAGTTTGCTTCCCTTCTTCCAGTCAATGTGAAAGTATTTCACACACCAGCAATTAAGGTCCTTATCTTTCAATTGCAGTATATAGTTTATTTCTCAAGGGAAATTATGAATGTCAACTGTTAAGTTCTCCATGTTAAGCTTGTATATTTGACAGAAATGTTATTTTCTAGGTTTAATGAATCCTTTTCTTCTGTTTATGTTTATTTTCTTTTCAACTGTATTTGATGTACACCTATATCCACTATGATAAATAGATAGAGATTTGAAATTCATGAGTACTAAAATCTGAAATGTTAATGAATAAAGTTGATATATTGAATAATTATCTTATATCTTAGTTTAAATCATCTGATTTATTCTCCTAATTAAGGTGTACGGTGGCTTAATATAGAAAACTCAAGGGGTTGGTAACTAGTAAGGGGCAATGCTTGGTAAGCTAGATGACCGGTAGTTATGGTTGTAGTAGGTGTTATCTAGCAAGTCAGGTAATCTAGTAAAGTCAATAACTTTATAGAGAGAGAAAGTGCAATGATATTTTAAAGAAATGGACTCTAAGAATATTATGTTGAAAATGTTAAGAATGAAAAGATTATGAACATTTAGTTGGAAGGATTATTTATAACTCATGAATCTTTTTTTTTATATATATAGAGAGGAGAGACTGAAGTATAATTTTATATTTGTGATATTTTGAGTTGTATTTTGCTTAAAATAATATGGATGAAAACACTATAAATTATTGAGGGAATTGTATGGGGTCCTAGAAAAATTTCATAGTAAGTGTTAGGCTTGAGGCACATGCTCGAACACATGAGGGTGTTGGGCTCGAGATGCATGGCAAAGCCCATGTGGTTTTTCGTGTCTATTTTATTTGGATCCCTCAATAGACCTCTAAGTCTTTGTAGTATTAATATGAAAATACTTGTAAAAATGTCTGATTACCATGACGATTTTGTTAAAAAAATTTCGTATAAGAAAACATGTTGAAACCTTGGGTAATAAACCGAAGAGACCATATGTAAAGGGTGTGCATCATGTTTGAAAAAATTTCTAAATATGTAAAGGGTGAGGTGAGATATAAAAGATTTCATACTTAGAAATTTTTTTAAAAGATTAGAGGAAACTTATGAAGAAGAAGCTCTTTCTTAGAAAAAAAATTCTAAATGGCTGGTAGAAATCCATAAAAGGTGAGCCAGTACTTAGAAAATATTCTAAAAGGCTAAAGAAAACCCAATGACGGTGATCAATGACGCTTATATGTAAAAAAATTTAAAGGGCGAAGGAGATAGATCCATAGAGAGTGGTTTTATTACACTAGAGAAACCAAATCCATTCCTTGAAAAGTGGTTGCACTGAAGTGTGGGGGGATATGTGACCTCCCTAAGATGAAATGGAGGCTCGGGAGCCCTGAGAGGTCGGTAGCCTTACTGATGATGGCATGGGGGCTTAGGAGCCCCCAATTAAAGAATGGTATTAATCTAATACTATATTGAATAAGCAGAATATCGAAGATAAACTCCTAATAAATTGGTGAGGGGCCTTTAGGCATCACCTAGATAATGAGGGGTCTTAGATTAACCTATGGTGAATTGATGATGGGTCTTTTGACATCACCTATAGAATGTGGTATCTAAGGTTAACTCCTAGCGAATTGATAAGAGACCCCTATACATCACCCGGAGAATAGAGGATCTCATATTAACCCCTAACGAATTAGTGAGAGGCCTTTAGGCATGATATAGAGAATGTGTCAGTCTATAATTGTACTATGAAATAAGGGATTTGAGATCAATCCCTAACGAATTGGTGAAAGGCCTTTTGACATCACCTAAAGAATGTGTTAGTCCAAAACTGCATTGGAAAGTAGGGGATTTGAGATCAATCCCTAATAATTATAGGGATAATGCTCTAAGAATACCAAGTAAATTCTCTTCAAGAAAAGTGGCCGGAAGACCCTTACTTGAGATTTGTAGTTAGGAAATGTGTATCAGAAATACATTATTATTATTATTATTATTATAAAAATAAACTTTCATTCCCATTAAAGAACATGCATCACGAGGTGATTTATTAGGCTTCAGGAAGCCTAGAGATTTAGTGTGAAATAACAAGATTAGTAACTAAGGTCCATCCCATGGTAGATAGAGGAAGCATGTGTAGAGTAACAATTATATGCAAGCTGGGTATTAGAATGGTGTGAGTGACCCCTAAAAGGATTTGACAAATATGGAGGCAAGATACTTTTCTGGATGTCATTTTGTTCAAGCTCTTCTTGGTAATGCAATGAGCTATTGACTGTTGGCGGTGATGGTGATGAAGTCAAGCATGCTACCATAACTACTAGGACTTTCTTGGATGGCAATGTTTGATTTTGACCTTGGGTTGCCAATATAATTTGAGTGAGGAATTGCATCTGACTGGTAAGTTGTTGAAGGTCTGGTTGGGTGGAAGTGTTTGTGGTAACGAGTAGATTTGTCTTGCATCTTGTCCTATATATATCTTGGTTGTGTGTCATTTATAGTATGGAAATGTCAAAAATAAGTTTTATAAACTGATGGATTTTTTATGGGTTTTTTATAGACAACATTAATTGATGAGTTATAAAATCAAATATGCTTAGGAATAAGGTTAATGTGTTAGATAATTGGTTGATCTTTTAGTTCAAGCAATCTTGTCAGGCCTGGCCCACTCCTCCTTGCATAATATTGTCTACTTTGGCTCAGCCTAATCTGGCTTCAACGCCTCACGATTTTGTTTCTTGCAGCCCACAGGCCCTAAAACGCGTTTTATAAGGTTAGATACGACTTGTCTTATATATCCTGGTTCTGGACACTCTTCTCTCGATATGGGATGTTACAATCCCCCCATCTTAAGAATGAGTTGTCCTTAGCTCTGATACCATATGTAAGCCCAACCTACTCTCCTTTGTAAAATATTGTTCGCTTTAGCTCAGCTTAACCCGGCTTCCATGTCTCATGGTTTTGTTTCTTGTAGCCTACAAACCATAAAATGCATTCTATAAAGTTAGGTACCACTTGTCTTATATGTCTTGGCTCTAGACACTCTTCTCTCAATGTGGGATGTTACAAATCTAATCAATTATCACTAGTCAAGGTGTTTGGTGGCTTGATATAAAAAGTCTAAAGGGTCGGTAACTAGTAGCAGGTAATGCCTAAAAAGTCAAGTGACCAATAGTTACGGTTGTAGTAGGCAGTGGTTGGTAAGCCAGGTAACCGATAGTTATGATAAAAGCAAGTGGTGGTTAATGCTTGAAAAATATTCTTTTGAATAAACGTGAGGACTTTTCGATAGTAAAGTCTGTAATTTTATAGAGAGAGAAAATACAATGATATTTTAAAGAGATAGACTCTAAAAATATATATGCTGAAAATATTAAGAATGAAGAGATTGTGAACATTGGACTTGAAAGATTCATGATGTATTATGAATCTTTTTATTTTTTTTATGGAGAGTACGAGCTAAAGTATAATTTAATTTTTATGCTATTTTGAGTTATATTCTACTTAAAATAATACATATTGGACTAATATAAAATACAAAAAGACTCGAGTAGGGTCCCAGAAAAATTCTATAGTGAGTTGGGCTCGAGATGTGTGCCCGAGCCCATTAAGGTGTTTGGCTTGAGATGTGTGGTCGAGCCTATGGGGTTTTTTTGGAGCCATTTTGGGTTTTTTTGTCCTTTTTATGCCGATAAACAAGCAATATTTCTTTTCTATTCAGGATTTACTCACAACTAGTTTCACCTTCATGAAGTTATTTAGCTTTAGATTTCAAACAATGAAATCTAACACCATTATATCCAAAATGGCTAACTGCTATAAGAATTAATCCATCCAAGTGATCCAAGCTTAGATCTTGCATGGGATGATGATCATATTTTTGATAAAACAACAAACCATGATGCACTTAAAACTTAAGATTTGAGTTAAATTTAAAAAGGTTGTCATGGCAAGTTTTTGGGTCGCCGCATAAAAAGAAAAAAATTGAAAAGAAAAATAAATACAAAAAATAAAAAAATATTATCAAAAAAATAAGTTAAAAAAAGATGCCAAAGCGCCCTAAAATAGTTAAAAATTAGTTGAGGAGGTTTAAAAATATAAAGATTAAAATTTAACAATATTTTATTGACTGATAAGAGCCCTGTTGATAAAAAAAAAATCAATTTAAGAAAGAAAAGTCCAAAATTAAATGGTCTTAATTAAATTTTATTAAAAGTTTAATTGAATTTATGGAGGGTTTGATTAAAAGAAAAAATAATTTTTAAAGTCAAGTTGGGTTTTAATTGGAAGAAATTAAAATTCTGTGGTCAAATTATAATTTTTAAAAGTTAATTTGATCAAATCAATGACTTGATTGTACAAATTAAAAATGAGGACTAATGTAAACTTTGACACGTTTTTTCCATCTTTTTTTTTTAAATGAAACGATGTGTTTTGTCCAAAACGACGTCATTTCATGCATTGTTCACCTAAAACAAAAGGAAGAAGGCTTGAAATTGTGCTGTTTTGAATGGCACTGTAGCCTTTCTTCTTTGCCTCTACATGTAAAAAATAGGGGAAGAAGAAATTTTTGTTCCCCTGTTTTTATCAACCTCCCCTTAAAAAAAGCACGAAAAAGACACCAAAAAGACACCCCACTTGCCTGGATACTAACCAATGGCCTACCACGGATGAAAAATAGAAGGGATAAGCCCCTAGGTGGCACCATCGTCCACCTTGCCCTATCTCTTGACCGGATAAAGGCAGGACATTTTCACCGCCCTTCTCTGCCTATAAATATAGAGGTAGAGAATAGGCATAAGGGAGAGGCTCTAGAGATCGAAGGAAAAAAAAAAAGTATTAAAGACTAAAAGGAAAGGAAAGGGGAAGAGGGTAGTAAAGAAAAAAAAAAAAACAAAGAAGAAGAGAAGGAAAATAGAGGAGAGAAGAGAGAAAGACCGTCATCTGGAGCCACCACCATTTCGCAGCCAGCATCACTGCCACCAGCTAGCACCACCATGGGCCTTCACAACAACCACTGCGAGCCTCCACAACAACCACCGTGTTCCCCCGCCTCTCTCTTCTTCCTTCTTCCCCTTCTCTACTCTGTCTCCCTTAGCTTTCATTTGCATACAAAACGTGAGCAATTCACATTTTG